CCCTCGGGCTCAACTCCCCCGTACCGGTAAGTTAGATAGGCGGGCGAAGGGCTCTTGGCTGCCGAAGGAAAACGGCTAACGGCCCGATACTAGTTTTGGCATCCAGGGTAACTTGTAGGGCGCGGCGTTATTTTTTTCGGGGAGCGATGCGAGTTATGCCGTGGAGGGACGATTTTGCCGCCGAGGGAGTTTTGGCAGAGAGAGACGGTTTCGCTAGCTGCCCAACAACCGTCTCTCCCTGGCAAAACTCCCTCGGCGGCAAAACTGTCCCTCCGCGGCATAACTCGCGTCGCTCCCCGAAGAAAATAACGCTGCGCCCTACAAGTCTGCGAAAGAGGCTAGTTTGCGGAACAGTCCAGTACATACTACATTCGCCAAAAACTTTTGTTTCGGGACTGTGTGTTTATTTGTGCATATGTGTGTCTGCGTCTATGAACAGCATAATTGAAATGTTGCCGATGGATTTATATGCTACTTTTGTGTTGGTACTAAATACTAGTAGGTGGCATTATTGCTCCCCCCTCCACCCGGCGACTTTCCATTGTACTACAGCTAGTGGAACTGTCGGTTTTGGTAACTCCATGCTAAGGTCGCGACTTTGGGGTGGTAGATAGTTATATTTGACCCGTTGGTTTATCTGAAGAAAGCAGAAGACACTACAATGTTTATATGTATATAGGCTGCTCTGACGCAAGTTCAATATCGACCTCCAATATCCTAATCTTAGGATACTCCTCTGGCCCATGGATACTGTCTTGCCACCACCGTAGGATCTGCTTGGAGTTCACCGAGATCCCAAGTTAGACCACGCTTGCACGGGATACATTCCACTGATTATAACCATGTCTAAGCGGGCCTCTGATATCACATAGCGTCCTGGACGTGAATTATGGCTCGCGAAGTCTTTTGTTTATCCACTTATCACGCATAGTTTAACCCCAACGAGGCTTACTGGCAAAACCGAACAAGTCTGGAAAGTCTTAGCCTCCATAGCACGCCAAAAACTTGGGTTTTTGGGGGTTTTCAGGGTCTTTGGGAGCTTTATGTGCTATTTTCTGAATGCATATAGACAACATAGCCGGCCTGGTGGAATTACCCCCGTTTTAGAACCGGGCTAATCGGAAAACAGCCGAAGACCACCAAACCCCCAGTTCTACAAGCCTGCTACGGAGGCCAGGAAAGTCTCTCTCAGCCAGGGGAGTACCAACCGGGTCTGAGTCGGTCTGAAATTCACGATAGGACGATAAAGTTGAAATGAATCCCGCCTGCACAGGTTGGAGAATCTTTATTTGTGAAAAGAAAATAGAACTTGTACGTTGTGATAATATCTCGTGAAGCCATATCCCTACATCTGCTTGGAGTTGTGTTGTTTTCTAAAAGTAGCGTGTCCCTAACGACGGGAATATGACGTCACAATTATCAGTGAGATGTTTAGTTTGCCCCCAGCACGGGAGACAGTCGGGGTTAGGGCACAACAACATATCTGCCGGGCAGTACAGGGTCGTATTGTTATCTTACATCGTGCCCGCTCGTGGAATTAGTTAGCCTTCATAGCATGTCAAAAACTGTTTTCAGGGTCTTCAGGGTCTTTGGGAGCTTTTATGTCCTATTTTCTGATTGCATATAGACAACATAGCCGGCCTGGTTGAATTACCCAAGTTAGAATGGGCTAATCAGAAAACAGCCGAAGACCACCAAATCCCCAGTTCTATAAGCCTACTACGGAGGCTAGAATTAGTTGAGAGACATCGAAATTATTAGCACTGCACTGATATGATGTCGAATGAATGAATGATAGACATTTATCGTACCACTATGCTAGTGCAAGCTATAGCTAAGTACAGGTATGTTGATAAAGTAATTCTAGGAACAGTTGCGGTGATAGAAGAGTCTAGTATTTGGCCCATTTCTACTCTATCCAGCCGCTTCCCGAAGCCTGGTAGAGGCTACTTATGAAGGCCTGGTGGAGGCTAGGCTCCCATGACCATGAACTCTTAAGGTGGAACGCTTGCCGTGTCACGAGCGCTTGTCCCGTGTACTCGATGCACGAACTTGTGTTCAAGTTAGCGTCGACTTGTTTTGATCTGGACTTCGTCTGTTTACCAAGTTGCCGTGGAAAACTGAAAAGAAACAGATAAGAAAGTGACAGAAATATGGTTCCCATTGTGTGGGCACAGTGATGTCTTCTATTTACGCACGCAATTTGACGGACAGTCGCGTCGCACGCAAATCTCTAGCGTGAGATAAAGAACTAAAACAAAACATCTCCAGTTACGTTGGTTTTGCCACGACATTAGCCGTTATCGCAGGATATATGACAGTGTTTTTGAAAATTAATTTCCGTTGGATCGAGAGGAAAATCCAGTAAACACTATAATTACAAGGTCAAAACCCCCGTACTGATAGACATATCTTTATGTGTTAACAGGGTTCCTTAGAGCTTGTCAACAAGGACTAAAAGGCAGTTTAAAATCGCCCGTTTCCCGTCGTTTGCTTTGTTTTGCCACAAGATCACGTTGTTCAAATGTTATGTCAGTGTTGTCGAAAATGCAAATGTACAACGAAGAACAGTTATTATACTTGTTTTTGTTTTTGGAAATGATTTCCGCACAACACCCGAAGGTCTCAAATACTTTGGTGTCATGCGAGAGAAATTTACCGATCTATAACATTTTGACAGGGTAAACCTGTCAGGAGACAAGTTCAAAATCGTCCATTTCCGTTTCCTATATGTTTAAAACTGTCCATCCATCCCTAGTCAGTGTTAAACTCCAGGCACGTGGTTGTGTATTATTTTTGGAGCGGGGGAGACCAGGCCAGTCAGGCCAAAGAAAACAAAGAAATTCTGCCCACTGGTGGTGCTACTGTCGGTCACTGCACGGAGATATAGCTGGTACTTAGAACTGTAAAACTTTATTTGCTATAAATGCTGATTCAAAACTCTGGAAAATATATGTAAAATTTTATGACAATTGTAGATCCCAGTCGGTCTTTTCCCTGCTTTTATGTCTTACCTAATTTTGTGAAAAAAAATTAAATCTTAAATCTTTCTAACCATTGTATAGAGACGTCAAAAACGCATGTTTTTTTTTGTTTTTGATTGACATAAAGAGGGGTTTTAAGCGATTAAGTCATTCCACTTTAGAATGTTTTTGTATATACGTTTTATGTAATCATCAAGCAGATCTTTTAGTGGCTGCAATACAGTAAGAAATCGGCCAGACAGTATCCAATATTCCCCACCCGAAGGCTGTCTTTAAAAAAAGATACAAGTAAACGAAAACGATAAAAATGCCTAAAACACGTCAAATATGAACAGAATCCTCTACCTGTAGAGTATTTTCATGACCTTGGCGACACAAACGTACTTCGAATTCTCCCTCGCTGTCCTCAAAATGACCCTAACCTCGGTAACCTCGCCACCTTATGGATACTTTCTGGACAACAAATTATGAAACTTTCCGCGTGCCTGTGTGTCTGGTCTCATCCTCCGCTGTCAGATTCACGTAACGTCTCAATCCAGACGGCTTTGAAGTCCCAACAATCACCACACCTCCCCGTCAGGGCCAGAGACCGCTTCATCCTTTGAAATTTGTTCCACACCCAAGGAAATGTGGCTCCCGCCGGTTTAAAGAGGGCCTGCAAGGAGGGTCCGGACAACCTCTACGCTGAATTCGGAAACCTCTCGATTACACTTTACGATAAATTCCAAGTGGCTACAACGCATTAGGTAAAATTAAAACGCCGAATACGCTCTACGCAAAAATATTAAAGCGGTCCCTCTACGCTCTACGTAGAATTAAAACGGCCGATTACCCCTTTAAAGACACCCGATACAATTTCAGGGCGGCAAAAAAATCTGGATGACGAGATACTGACATCTACTGCCATTATTTTATAGCACATTTTTGTCATCATTTCATTCTTGCAGCTTTGGAAACATATGCTTATTACGTGAGAAGTCCCTTATTTTTGGTACCACCAATACGATACAAAACAAGCAACCATTTTCCGTCAGCGACATCGCATTTTTGCCTCACAGATATCAGTATGCTATGGGATAGGATTGATTCAACTTACTACATAAAAATGACCAGAAAACTCACTTTACTTTTCATATATTTCTAAGTCTACTAAATCTATTTGATTGTCAAAATTTCTCAAATGTTTGCATACTCATTCCGTTGGCCACTTACGTTGTATCCAATCTAACCAAGACGCACCTGGGCCCAAACAAACATCATATTTGAGAGTCTTGACTGTGTACTAGACCTGCTGGGGGCATGTTTACATGTGGTACCCGTGATATGTGAGACTCATGTGAGTGTTGACGTTGTACTTTTAGTTCGGTTACATAATGAACAGCACTTCAACGATTCAACTGTACATGTCACCATACAACTGTATACTAGTACGTAAACCTCTCCCTACTTGTCTAGTGTGTTCGCTGGCCCGTGCCTATCTAGTTCATATGCCTGAATGGGTTAGGAGTAGGGTTAGGAAAAATCATGGTTCTATGGTAGTCTCCGTGTATCCAAGGAGGTTGGTGTATTCAAAAACGTAGATTTACCCCAGGCACTAGTACCAGGCACGGTTCTGGAAACTTGTTACTCTCCAAGCAGAGGTTTGGGTTTTTTTAGCTTGTTTTTAGACTTTTTTTATCGGGGTTCCTTTTTTGCACTGGAATTTTTGTTTCACTCAACCCAACAAAAACAAAACAAAAAGTCCAATGCTAAAGAGAAACCCCGATAAAAAAAGTCTAAAAACATGCTAATTAACCCAACCTCTGCTTGGAGAGTAGAAACTTGTGGACTATATCCAGATCTATGCCTGAGCAAAAAAGGCACAGTTGTGGATACAGCATTCACCAAATCGTAACTCTACGTCAACTTATCCTTTGTCCTGTGGTTTTTAGATAAGCAAACTTTATTTCTACAAAAAAAAATTAAACAGGGTGATTTTCATAAGATCAAGGAAGATATACAGCTGCAATGACCTTGCGTAAGGCCGAAAACCAACGTGTTTTCATTGCGGCGCGTGTGTTTATAGAATTATGGTCGTGTTTTCGCCACCGATAATGGATTTTCAAGATCCGAACGTTAAATAAGGACGTTCTCAGAATCTTTGGGGAAAGTCTTTAAGCTGTTTTGATCGCGTCTTGAGTTTATCTTGGCAAGTTCTGGCCTGCAGGTGACTTCCATGTAGTCTTGGCTGTTTCTCCTCTTGAGTCGTTAGGAATGTTACAGGGCCTTGGGCCACAGCAAGTACATTTTATGGATGACATCCTACGCAGACCCCAAATCTAATGCGAGCGGGCGAAAAAAAACAAGACGGGCCGAAAAAAACAAGGTTCCTGCATTTTAAAATTTTGACTCAATCATGGTACAGATAGTTTTGATTCAGTGGGAACATCACATATACACAGCCAACATCACATATCACTGCATCAAAGTAAGAGCCTTTTCTTGTCTCCTCTCTTCATAGTTATCTGCCACCCACCTTCTGGTACGGCAACAGACATCTTTGTCCATTTTCGGCATGTTGACCACTATCAGAGGGCAACAAAATCTCGCCCCCCCCCCCAAATCAGGTGAAAATTAATGCGCGCGCTGATGTCATCCATAGAAATTACTTGCTGTGGCCTTATAGAGGACTGACAAGAAAAACAGCCGTATTATTCTGCCCCCTGTTGACCTTAGAACTCACAAACAACACCTGTGCGTGTTGAGGTTGGATCTTGGTCGTCCGGGATCTCTTGCGAGGAAACTTCTTCGCCCAAGACGTGCGGCGTTCTTCCGGGGCTCCCCGGGGGGTTCCGGAAACTCCGGTTACTAAATAAGATTCCCAACATTCCTTGCGGTCCAGAGGGGGAAGTCATCATCACGAGTCTAACCTTGATATTTTCACCGGGAGTTTTTTCTCTTTTTTTTTATTTTTTATTTGGCTTCGACACTTCTCACATTTGCACAATTTGTGTAACAAAAATAGTTACACAAATACAATATAACTGTATCTGTACCATTTTCTGAATAGTTTCTTTTATTCAGACAAGGAAAACGGAAAATCCGGACTTAGATCAAGCCCTACTAGCTCCACATTCCTGTACATATATGATATACCCAAGGTATCCCCCGGTACCAAACGCTGACGAAGACTTCTGTGCCGGGTAGACTGGCGCCTGACCTCACCTCAGGGGTCACGGAAGGTCAAGATATCCACTTGAAAGGGGGAGAGGCCGGGAGCCGGTGATATGCCCGGACGTCAGGTTACGGTGAATGGGACCTGTGTTGGCGGGTTCCGTCTACTGCATTCCTTGCATAGATATTAAATTCCAGACTGCTAGAGTACGGGGTGTTGGAATGTTGAAATGTACAGTTGAAATTCAGTAGAAATTCTGAAAAACACAAGAAATGCCATTACAGAAGGTTCAATTTTTCCGTAGAAAACTCGCGCATTCGACGCTCGCGTCGCGCCTACGGCTAGAAGACCCCCCCCCCTGAAAATCCTGGCTACGGGTATGTAAATTAGCCGAAACCTAAACCTCTGCTTGGAGAGTAGGAGGGGCTTCGCTTCCCAATGGACCTGGGGAAGTACGGTTTTCCCACGTACCGCCTCCCCCCGACACTAGCCTGAGAACGCGGGCGATGAGAACGCCCCATTCTCATGCACACTTCACACGTACCCGACAACTCTCCGCCCAACTCATCCACATATTGACGGTGATAGCGACAACTGGTCGCTAAGATTACACCCTAGAGAAGGGCGGGACATGAGGACGCCGCGGTGTGAAAACGTTTATTATATTCATCGCTTCAGCTGTGAGAAACAGGTCTGCCCAACTCATCTGTGAACTGGGGCACCACAGACGATCTGAAACTTCCAGCCGTCGCCCACAACGATGCGATCGTATACCGTCGTCAGTCTAAATTCGGCCTTAGCCTCTACCAGGCTTCGGGAGGCGGTTGGAAAGAGTAGAAATAGAAATAGGCCAAATAGAGAGGTAGCTTGACTAATCCTTTTACTGTCCACTTTCCTCTGTCTATATAGCTATGTCTCAGTAACGTCGAAAAGTTACCAAAAAAAGAAAAAGAAAAAGTCTCTCTTGTCTAGTTTTCCTTCTTTTCTTTCTTTGTTATACCCCAATTTAAAACGGGTAGCATGTCAAGGGAGTTGGTCTGCTGGAGAGAACAGTTTGCCGCCCCCGGACGGCTGAGAGAGAGCGGCAAACTATTCTCTCCAGCAGACCAACTCCCTTGGCATGCTATCTCTCTATTTGGCCGAGTTCTACTCTTTCGAGCCGCCTCCCGAAGCCTGGTAGAGGCTACAGATTTATTCATACAGTCTTGTCGTTGTTCTGTTCCTCTTTAGTAGTGTCCTGCTGGTCTATTTTCTGGTATAATCCTCCTTTTTTTCAACTGAACTAGTCTGTAGACTGGAACTGGCAACAGTTTTTCACTCAAACTTTTTCCATGATTCTCACTAGCCTTGTGAGAAAATGCCCCCCCCCCCCGTGTGGGAACCCGTACCACCTAATTATCAACAATCCAATTGTCGCCTTGTCGACAATTGCTCATGTTTGTTTTGCTTTTGTTTTTCAACACTTTCCATATCAGAGCCCTCCGCTACATTAGCAAGTGCTAAATTTCATACCGCCTCTACAAAGGGATTCCCGCTTCTACTGAGTTTGCATCATTCATTCTGTATTTCTTTAATTTGTTTTGCTAAAATAGCTAAAAATAGTAAATATAGTAGAGGCATAATCAAACTCTGATGCGGTCTTACATAGCGAAGGCTGCCAATGGAAAAAAGGGGGTTATGTAGTCACATACGTATTGAATGAATGTATGATGTACCTCATTGAAATGTCAAACTTCTTTCATAACTGTGTCTGTGACCTGATTTTATAACGGAGACAAATGTGTAATAACGTTATTTCATCGTCAAAAATATTAATAATTCTTGTCTGTTGTTTCTCCAGCTCTCTCCGTTCGCTTTCTCGCAAGAAGATTTCTACCGGAGTATGCGCCTGCGCAAGGTACGATCAGTTTTTTATCATCATTTTTGTGGCATCATTTTAGTTTTATATCAATAGATAAAAAAGAAACTTTATTCGCAAAATCATGCCCGAAGGCTAATTGCTTTTACAATAAAGAATAATACACATTGCACTACAGTAACAGGAGACAGGTAACAACTGTCTGGAAAAAACTTCTACTTCTACTACTACGCTAGCTATTATGGGGTTCGACTTCTTCTTTGAAGGCAGTGGATAATGAATACTCCCACATTCCGTTGGAGCGCGGAAACCTTCTATCCGTGGCAAAAGTCCCTCGGCAGCAAATCGTCCCTCGCGGCGGCATATTACTCGCGTCGCTCAGAGAAAAAATTACGCCCACGCCCAACAAGACTGCGAAGGAGGCTAGAAATCAATAGTGTTGACTTGGGCAAAGAAGGGAGAAATAAAATAATTTAAGTGCGGCAAAACAAGAAAAATGGATCTTGTATCCAAACAATTATTTTGATTCAGACCCGAATAGATTCGATCAAGGAGGTTGAATTTGATTGGACCGTATAAATTGGAGTGCGCGGCCATGTTTGGTCAGGTGAGGCCTGTGGACGGTTTGATTGACAGCTGGAGCAGACGGTAATGTTTGCTCACCAGGCGGACAGAACATGTGTCCCGCGCCGCGCGACCTCCCCGGACTGTCACCGTACGATCGTTACACAAGATTGATCTGTCGTCTGTAAATAAGCGTTACGACCAAGGAGGTCCCTTCTTGATACGATACGACTCTTTTGCGACAGCTTTGTTTTTATCATATCAATTTATGGTTTAAAGGCACCCAAAGCGATTTTAGCGGGCCTGCATGCCCTTTTTCGTAAGGCGTAATCGGGCCTTTTTAGACTTTTTACATGTAAATCGTAGGCAGCCTCCGCAAAAAACAACGTAATTCGTAATAGGACATTAGCCGCAAATCGTAAAGTCGTAATCAGCTCTGAGACTTTAACATAATTCGTAATAGGCGATTACGTTGAGAGACAAAAAATGCGATGTCACTGAAAGAATTGTTACTTGTTTGGTGTCGTAGCTGGTTCTATCTGTTAATAAGTGATACCAAAAAAGACAATTTCAAACGTTTCAAGTATGAAAATGAAATGATGACGCAAATGAGCTGAGAAATGTCATCAATATCAGAAGGATGATCCAGGAGCAGATACAGAATATCCAGTCAGCAAACGTAAGTAATTTTATAAACGCCGGGAACCAAGTCTCCACCAGACCAACTTAGTACGCTGGCTATATATAGGAGAATAATTGTCAGGGGAGTTTGGCCGCCTTGTACATGTAGGTTTGATTGGCCCTTCGGAGGGAAGAAACTACTAGTACATGTACTTCCCGCGGCCGGACTCCCTTCGCCAATTTTACTCTCTTTTTTGCCGAATTCTACTATCCGTATTCCCGTAGAAAGGCCTGGTGGAGGCTACCGGGAACCAATGCCTGAACCAATGACGTCCACTCCGGAAACATTTTTGTGTTGCTGGCAAATATTTCTGTGATGGTGTCAGAGGAAGCCACACCGCACTTAGAAACTACCCATCTGTTCCAGACGACCGGGTGGACTTTGCTTTAGTGACAGACGTCTGTTTGGGACGTTCTTGTCAACGTTACCATGGCAACGCATATTTTCTCGTGCGGTGGTCCGAGGCGACATTGGAGCGAGAGTTTGTTGAACGAGACTTGGGTTTGTTTGGAGAGACCTTCGCGATGAACTCACATGCCCGTAGCCAGGATTTTGAATTGGGGGGTTCTTCTTCCCACTGCTCGGGACCTCGAGCGCCGTAGGCGCGAGGTTCCTAGGGGGGTCCGGGGGCATGTCATCCCCCCCTAAAATTTTGAAAAATGAACCTTCTAAAATGGCATTTTGTGCATTTTTGAGAGGATTTCCAAGAAAAAATCAAAGATCAATTTTTATTCAATGACAAAGGGAGCAGTTTTTCTACGATTCCAGTCCATATTTTCAAGAAATATCTTGGACTTTTACGTAAAAAGTGGAGCAAAAAGTGGACCTTTACATAAAAGTGGACCAAAAAGTGGACATTTACATAAAAAGTGGACCAAGAAGTGGACCTTTGAGCCTTTTGGGGGTTTTTCCGTACCCCCCGAACCCTCAAAGCAGAAGTTCGGGTTTCGGGTTGTTTTTTGCGTGTTTTTAGACTTTTTTATCGTTTTTTTGCACTGGAATTTCTCCTTCGCAAAACCAGACCAAGAAACAAACCCCGATAAAGAAGTCTAAAAATACGCCGAAAATAACACAAAACCCAAACCTCTGCTTGGAGAGAACTCACAGGCATCAGATGTGACGTCGGGGGCGGCAAAACAAAATCAGAAATATTCTGAATGAGGAAATCTGTCTGATATTAAAATCTACTGTCATTTTTACAACACATTTTCGTCATCATTTCATACTTTAAAGCGTTTGAAATAGCCCCAAAAAAGCTACGTAAAGGGTCTCTTTATTTTATTTTTTTGAACCACCAATAAATATCTAGACCCAGCCTACGATACAAGCGATATTTTTTCGTCAGCAGCATTCCTACCTCACTGATATCACAATATCAGTACACTATGGGATTGATTCAATTTTTTAAATACCGTATTCAAAAATCACAAAAAATTGACTTTGAAAATCCAGTTTTCCGGAATTCCACCGATGGGTGTAGTCAGCCAGAAATATTTTTGTATAATTAGGGAAGATATAATTTATATTATACAAAAAATGGTTTCAACACGCTTGTATCGCCAGAAGCTGTTGTAGTTAAAAGAAATAAAACCAATGAGTTGTACGCCCAGAGCAAGAAGGTTAATTTTAAACCTCCTCCAATTTATTTACCAGAGGTTACCCCAGGCCACCCCTGGCTTGTCTGTGATTCACAGAAGATACTTTCCGATCCTCACGCGATATGTTCTGAGTCTCGACTCATCACTCCAGCAAACAGATACCACATGTGAGAGGGCCTGCATGGGGGGTCCCGACAACGCTCTACGCTGAATTCGGAAACCTCTCGATTACGCTTTACGATAAATTTCAAGTGGCTACAATGCATTATGTAGAATTAAACGAAGTTATTGCAAATT